AATCACTTTATTTGGCCAAATATGTTAACACACACAAGTTGTTTCCTGTACACAAGTGAGGCAACTAACTGTGGCGCCAACTCACACTGATGGAAGGACAAATGCTGCTTCTGCCTGGTTTCAAACCAGGGACCTTTTGTGTGTGAGGTAAACGTGATAACTGCTACACTACAGAAACCAACCCAGGGTTAACTGCAGAAGGGTACAGGGGGGCAGAGAGGACACACAGACTGCTACTGGCTCCGGCCCCTTTGTCTACCTGTTCACATGTGGCTCAGTCTTGTTTTTTAAAAATTGCTCATAAACTAAAAACTATTCAGCTTCTGCATAAGTTTTACTGTCACTTATAATTTTTATTCATATATAACCAATCAACAAGTTATTCCACAAAAGCAGCATCATAGCACTGAAACAAAACTCAAGCGATGCTGACTAATGCAGTAGCTACAAAACTACCAAACACTGAACAAAGTCATTCATGTTTTCTGCCTTTGTGTAGTATACACAGCCATTCACCAATCTCCTACTATGAAAGTTCTGAATACACAAAGTTCTGTAATCCAGTGCTGTGTGGGATGGTTTCGTTGTCATAGTGAAAAGTAGTTTTAGTTTCAAAACAGCATAGCTGCCAGTTGAGAGGGAAGGTGAGACAAATCAGAAATTCACTGTTGAAAAGTCATTAATGCTGCAACAATCATCACTGGAGCAAAACTTGGGTGTTCTGAAAAACAATAACACACCTCCTGTTGTTATTCCTTCATATGCTCTCCGGGGGAGATTTCACTTGTGCCTTGTGGTGCTTGAGTTTGTATTATTGCTTTTCATACATAATTGTACCACCAGCATGCTGTCATTCAAGTTGAAGAGCAACGAGAAAAGATAGAGGGGGGAAGGAAAGCAATTTCAAAGCTTGGCAAAAAGAAAAAAACAACCCTAGGGAATTACCTCACCTCCATCTCCACAGGCTTCTGTCTCTATGTTCATTTAGCTATTTTCTTTCAATCAGACTTTTAAAAGAAAAAACAGATAGTCTGCAGACTGCAAAAATACTGACCAGATTTATATTTATTAGTCATTTATGTAACCATTCTGAAGCCAAGTCTGAAAGCAGGATACAAGTGTCCTGTCCAGAACCACAAGATTTTGGTTATTCAGCTGAGTATAGTGACGGCAATTGTGTTGACAAAACGCAGAGAATTTGTCAAAAGCGTTTCACAAATTTTCCTCATGCAGCAGAGACCATTTCATATGTGCAAGCACATATCAGATAATATCCCAACACTGATCTCAGTGGCGTATAATAGAAACCCCAGCAACAGGCAGGCTAACTCTTCCCAATGTCTTTAGAATGAGGCTGCACACCAACTCAGACTGTGCTCAGGCAGTTACCAACACAGTCAGGGGCTTCATGGAACTGGATATGCGCTGTTTTCAGTTGTTGAGAACAACGAGTCAAGCATTTGCTCAGTGTGCTGGAACCCACATAGAGCTGACCGCATTTCAGTCAAATTTGTTACCTAAACTTTAGAATGAACTAAAGGCCGGTTGGAGCTCCTATGCAACAGAGAGCTTCATCATGATGAGGGTGCACTATATTACCAACAAATAGGTAAACCCTGTTCCCCAGACACGTGCTGTTTATGCAAGTCAAGTGATCATTTGTCAGAAATACTGCAGAGAGGTGGCTCAGTGGAGGATTGACAGACCAGACACAACAATTGTCGTGACAACGGACAATCCCACAGACATTGTGAATGCAGTCAAAGGGGCCAGACTTTCACTACACATTCAATTAACCTTTTTTCTTAATCACCCCCTTAAAGCAAAACAGAACAAACAAATGAGGTATGAACCACTGAGCCATGGCTCAAAAAGTGAGGTCTGAAGCGAACTGTTGATTTGGAGAATTGTTACACCCGAGTCAGTGACATAAATTTGTACTCTGCAGAGGTGTGTAAAGGATCCAAACAAAATATATTGATAATGCATGTGTTTGAGTTTAATATCTGAATATCTCATTAGTTCAGTCAACCTACTTAGCACCGTTCTACCATATTTACATCTCTCATGCTCCTCTCCACTGCTGGAGAATTTGGTTTTGGTTTGATAGTAGCAGAATCTAGAGCATGCCATTTAACATGTCCTCTTGATTTATTCTGATGTAACTGTTGACCTTAACATGTGCGCTTCACACTGCCATGCTGTCACTGATAAAAGTGTGGGGTTTCTGTGGGGGTGTTGACATGTCCAGCTCAAGAGGTTTTCAGAGAGGTCAAGCGAGAGTGGCTTTATAAGTTGTGCTGCCCACTTGCCTCCTGTGTGCAGTGGCTACAATGTAAATAAAGGCATATTTTTATGTTCTGTGTTCCTTATAGTCCTTACCATTCTACACTAGTGTAAATACACTCTTTACACTGAGTCTGTGGGCAGCCTGAATGTATCATGTCTGTGCCGTTGAATCTGCAGTTTTAATGAAGGTGCTTGAAATAAATTTTTTGCTTCATTTAGCATTAATGACTGAGCAGATATGGTGCTCTTTAAATACCTTTAACAACTCTCAATAACACAGGCTGTTAATTTTGTGCCCCTTTTTCAATCTGTCATCCATTGTCTAAGCTTTAAAAGACCAAATGGCTGTAGTTCACTTTGCTGCAATTATACCAAACGTTCCAGTCTTACTGTTGGCAAAACATTCATCTTGTAAATCATGTTAGCACCATCATAATAAAAACATCATCACAAATGGCTGTCCTTTTATGACCAAAATCTTAACCCGTTATTGTCTTTTCTCTAGCATCCCGGCCCAGGTTAGAAGATGCTCCTCCACGGATCGTGGAACACCCATCTGATCTGATCGTGTCCAAGGGTGAGCCAGCCACCCTCAACTGTAAGGCCGAAGGACGCCCGACTCCCATGGTAGAATGGTACAAAGATGGCGAACGTGTAGAGACAGATCGGGAGGACCCTCGATCCCACCGCATGCTCTTACCCAGCGGCTCCCTCTTCTTCCTGCGAATTGTACATGGGCGGCGAAGCAAACCTGACGAGGGCATCTACGTGTGTGTGGCGCGCAACTACCTGGGTGAGGCAGTCAGTCGGAACGCATCGCTGGAGGTGGCAAGTAAGTGACTAGGTTTTTTGCTTTTTTAGGCGTGAGTGCTCAGCTGTGTGTGTGTGTGTGTATGTGTGTGTGACTGAACCAAACAACATGAACTGAATGCTGCTTTGTATAATGTGGGGGTCAGATACAGTACATGGGACGTGAAAGAGTGCCAGGGATAGATGACGTCACAGTAAAATGATACTAGGCACTTATAATAATCAATGAACACTTAAAATAATGTCCATAAAAGTATATCTAAATGAATATAACACATGAGTGTGTGCCATTCATTTGTTGGCAGAAATGCAGAGCTGTAGAAAAAGAGAGAAACCTAAAGAAACGGTGCACATTACAATACAGATCTGTGTAAAGGAATGAGATAGTGGTGGTAGGCCATTGCTTGCCCACATATCAGGTGTCAAACATAATGTCATGTATTATGTAATTCCAGTAAGAAGAAACGGATTAAGTCACAGACAGATTTCAAGTAATATTAGCTGTGCTATAAAAGTGGAGGAGTACAGAGGCAGCTCACAGGACTCTCTTATCATCGCCATCACTCGCCTGAGTTAACTTAAGATGCCACCCCTGACCTTGCCATCGAATCTCCTGGCAGCTTGTACCCTGCTGACCCCCCCTCACCTCTTATTCCTCGCTCGTCCTGCTTTCTACCCTCCGACATGGCATGCTATTCTCTCACACTCCAGAGAGCTCGGCCTCTGCCGTGTTGTGACCAGGACTCTACGACCAGGCCTGTTAATGTGGATGGATGACAGCTAGCTTCTTCTTCTTCTTCTTTAAAAAAGATTGTCACCACTGGACAGGAAATCTGACAAACTTTCTTGCAGGGAGGGGAGGAAAGGTTAGTTGTCATCTTCTCAATAGCAGCTGTTACTGTCTTAAAATACAGTAAACTCCTGTCAGATGGGTTTCCAAAAGACACCCCTTGATTTTGTTCTCTGTTGCAGTGCTGTGTGTGATTGGTAGCACTTTAATGAAATGCAGATAGGGCCAATTAAACCTTTGTTGTTAGATTAGGCCATTACCTTTAGTGTTAGGAGATCACTGTATAGTGTAACTTTGTTTTGACAGCAGGTCATTTAAAGAAAACTCTACACATTGTGTGAATACAAATCTAATTTTGGGCTAGTTTGTCGCTGCACTCAGGTAGACTCTGTGTTAGTTCACATTGTCAGAAAATCATGTGTTGTGTTTCAAAATAAGCTACTAATTAGGCGCTGCTGAAATATTGACAGCCATGTGACAAACTAAAACACTGAACACAAAATGAACTGTTATCCCTGCTTATCTAATAATCTGAACAAAAATGAGTATTGACTAAGGGAGTAACAATATAAGGACCTCGCCATCTGTTCGATATACTTATAATAACACAATGAGAATGAAAACTAGTGTCACAGTTATTTATTTTTTCTTAGCTATGTAAATTCACAAAACCTTTCTAACATTGTGTTTCTCATTCAAACATTTCCTTTATTATGTAGACAAGAGTGGAATTAGATTAATGTGGCTAATGGCTAGTGTAGCTAACGTTAGTGAACATCAGGGCCAACAACAAGTCAGTCCAGAAAACAGATCTGCCCTATTGCCCCCTCTTGTTAATAGAAACAAATCACATGGGAGTCTTGATTTGATATTGTGATCCATTTTTACAGTCCATATTGTCATGTTTATGAATTGAGATGTATTGTTCCACGATGCATTGTTACACCCCTCGTCTTGACACCATGTTGCTAGCAGTGTTTGCAGAAACACGGCTCAATATTTAAACATTTCCTATTATCCCTTCACTCTAGCTTCTCCTAATATCATCCTCCCTTTAAAAATGAAACCATATCAGGAATTGTTCATCGCACAAACCAGTTGGACACAGTGAAACCAATTTCATTCCCAGTTTAAATCTATGAGATTCTAGATCCCTGTCAAGCACCTTATGGTCGAGCACCGCATTTTCCTGAAAGGCTCGAGCCCCTAATTTAATAATGAGGCTGAACTTCCCCTGACTGCCTTCACAGAAAAACTACCCGTGAATCTTACTCTATCCTCTATAAACAGCTGAGATCTGTGCAGCATGTTCATCACTTTACTTAAAAGTGTTCCTCAGTCGGCATGAAGAATTACCTTTCACCTTGCTCATGTTCTGTTTCAGTATAAACATAAGAAGCTGCAGGGTATTTGTGGTACAAGCCGTATATGGAAGCCTGGCAAGTCAAATAGGTGGATGTGTTGTGAATCACTTTTCACAGAGGTGGTTATGAAAAAAGCAAGGGAACAGCACCACAGCAGTTGCCAGAAATTTCTCACTCCTGGTGAATAATACCTTATGTTTTTGTTGACAGTTTCTTTACTCTGTGCTACTTTTGAGCTCTCCTTTTGAGTCCCAAAGACACTGCCTCTTTGTAAAGCTAGGACAGTGCTTAACCAAACCCAAGCACACATTATTAATATTATTATATTTGTCAGCACTCTTGAGATATTTCTTGCAGCTGCTGAAGGTAACAAGAGTGTGATCCCCCTCATCGGCCCTCATCCACAGGCTCTCTAAGGATTCATGAGGTTGTGCAGGGTCAAGTTTTCAGTCAAATGGTTCTGTTGTGTTTGTCTTTAACACCAGTGTGCTTCTGCAGGGCCATGCAGCTGATCAGTCCATCTGCATTTCTGTATGTCCTGCTTTCTCTTGCTTTCTCTCCTGATGCTGTGTTCCTTTGGTAGGTGTCACTCTGTGCAGCTGTCTGCAGAAAGGCCCATGCACAGGGGCACAGCTTGGTGCATAACAGTTGCTCTCACAGATAACAGTCCTTAATCTGTGGTGGTAGAGGAAAAACTACATCGTGTGTGTGTGTGGACACAAAACCACTAACACACTCTTGGATTATTGCCTCTACAGAGAGTGAGTGAGAGAGAGGTTATATAGAAAAAACAGTGGTCTGTACCAAACCATAGGCAGTGCCAGCTCCCTCTGCATGACACCAGTGGGGCCAGAGGTAAGGCCACAGGCACATAAACCCACCTGGAGCTGCCAGGGCACTCAGTGTGGCACCAGAAACAGCACAAGATGGCACTTTGTGGCATGGTGTCACTTTGCTCTCCAGTCTGTGACTTGGAAGCACTGAGGGCAAATGGAGAGGAAACTGCATTGTGTATTGGTTTGTATATTTGGTATCAGGGTGGGCGCCAGCACAGTGGGATGGGTGGAAGGTTCAGGAGGTTTAACTCTTCACAGTCCATCTGCTGCAGGCTTAGAGGCAGGCGAGGTGAAGAAGTCCACTGAGTTGCAACATGAATGAAAAGGCAGAATGTTGCAGTGCTGGCAAAAACACAACTTGACAGTTTTTGTCTGTAAGTGGCTCACTGTGTAGTGTTTCCTGTCATACTGTGTATGTACCACAAGGAACAAGAGCACAGATGCCTTGTTGGAGCAGCAGCAGATGAATGAGTTGATAAAAGTCAAATAAATATCGCATGTGATACTACGTCTTCTTAACTATATTGAACTATTGAGTTGTGGATCTTCTGAAAATCAAACACCCAGTGCAGGCTTAAAAAGAGGCTGTGAAATGTTTGTAGATTTCTCACTGACAGAGACCATCTGCTCTAGTCAGCTTAAACTCACTATGTGGTAATAGATTCCTGTGTTTAAAAGTATTTCAGTATAATCAACTTACACTATTTCCCACATTTCCATTCGCTAGTGTGCACTAACTAAAGGTAGTACAATTCCACCCAAAAAGTTGTTTATTCAAGAATGTGTGCACATTATGGATGTCACAATTTGGCCCTGATAGCAACCTGAGTTCTTTAATGTTGGGTTTCTACAAGTTAGGTGGAAACAGATGATTCGCTGTGGCGACCCCCTAACGGGAACAGCCGAGAGAAGAAGAAGAAGAAGAAGATCTACCATTTGTGAGTCAGTACCTACAGTATAAATACTAGGGCTGAACCTGACTAAGGAGTTTGTCGGCCAACTGTCAGTGGGCTCTTCAATTTGACTGTTCAACCATTTGTTCTTTCATATACTGCTGAGTGGTGTTACAGCGTGGAGCTTCTTCCCTCACAAATGAGCTTTGGCCAAGTGCAGACACAAGCTGCAGCAACCAACTCAGGACTTCTGTAGTGCACGTACTAAAATAATTTGATGGGTCAGCTTCATTCCAACAGCTGGTTATGGGAGCAGAAATGCAGAATATTTTGTAGATGGAAGGATAGATCGTTTTGTACTGGACCTACAAATAAACATAAAGTAGGCATTTAAGTTTGCCAAAAAGTCTTTGGCACTGCTTTTTTTTTCTGGATAGGTATAATCATTTGTTCTCATTATTTCTCAAGTGCATGCAGAGCATTTTTCCTTTGCAATCATTCAGATGCTGACAATTAAGCACTCAATAGCTCATTAGGAAAGGTTCTGCTTACTTACCTCAGTAACAGTTTCCACTTATTATTAATGACATGTTTGATGAATGGATGTTTGATGGATGAACTGTGAGTCTAACCTAACCTCAGATATAATGTAGTTGTGCATTTTTAAACATCACTCATTCCCTTGCATAGCACTGCTAAATATTAAAGACAATTGGGTCACGTATCACATAGAGGTTGATGGATGAACTATCAAAGCTATTAGAAAAAGCACATCCTTAATGTCAATGTCAATGTCAATCTCAAGAGAAAAACAAAACGGGTACACTTTCGGGGGTTACTGTAAGTCATAAGTGTGTCGTGAAAAGCTTTAAAAGATCCTTTATGTTTTGTTAACCTGTGCATTCCATTACCTTGCATTAAGAACAGATCCTACACCATTTTGCTAAATGTTTGCCACCTACTCATATCCGATTTCATGCTATAAAAGAGACTCTCTGATCTCAAAAATGTGGCCAACTAAGTTACGTGCCAGAAGCAGAGGCCAATTCTTGTCAGATGCATAAAAGTCGGCCAAGCACAATAGATCTAATGGGCCAGACACCCCAGGTCGGGGATTTAACATTCAGAATGACTTGCCCAACCTCCTGGCAGTTTTTCTTTGAGTGTTTTATACCGCTGACATTTTTATTACGCCTGCTGTGTTTCCACTGCCTGGCTTTATGGCTCATGAATATTCACAGTAACAGGGGAGGGGAAGAGGTGCTTTTTGTTCTGAGGGTGGAGTCACATAAAACGGACTGGGGTAACCTCTAAGGGTTTTTGCACTCAAAACCCAGCCCTATCCCTTTTTTTAAGGTTGTTTGGAGGTCAAGCCATCAAGGTTCATGACTGTAGCTGCCTTGTGGAATTTGGGAATTGAATGTGATGAAACATCTGTCTAATTCTGAATTTGTGTGAATTTTCAATGTTTACATTTGTATTTATTTTGTAATGGTAGTCTGGGCTGACATTCACCTGTAGTAACTCCTAGACACAGTGTGGGAGAAACAGCTGAACAGCACTGGCACCTTTTGGTTTCTTCTTCCTCTCTTCTTTGTCTCTTTCAGATATGCACATGCATACACACACACGTACACGCACACCTGCCATTCTGTTTGTGATAACTGAGACACTTGTGCAGAAAAATGTATTTCAGGGTTTATGGATTTGGAAATGGGGAAAGGATCTAGAAGGTTAGGATAGCATTATTGTAGGTGGGAGAGGAATGCAGGTTGGTGCTGAAAAAGGAGATAAAGTGACTGCCTCCAAGTCCACCTGCTTCTTTCTGCTTATTTCCCTGTGTTCTCTGTGCACTCCTCAAGCTGCCCTCTATCACTGATATAAACACCAGCGGTCTGGAGCCATATGGGTTTTGATTGGAGCTCTGCAATGCATGCTGCCATACATGGTGGAGTGCAGTCACACTGATATGTACATTGATATTAATCTAAAAGCTCCTGCCAGGCACAATTAAGTAGCCTTTGGCTTACTATCAATCTGTGTTTACATCTGTGAGCATTAAAACTGGAGATGTCCCAATCTGGGACTTATCACGGCTTGTCATTAATGCTTGCCCACCTGCCTGGGGGAGAAAGTAAACTCTATGTTTGGGCAAGTGGAATGCGTCATACACCTGCCCAATCGGTATTCATCTTTCTGTATTGAAAACAACTTGGTTCTCAACTCAAACAGACCAGTGAGTGGGATTAGTGGATTGGAAAATGAACATGTGCCTGGTACAGATATGAGCACAAGTCTCCTGCGATGTGCGCACAAGATGTTAAAATCTGCACACACTATGCTTTTAACGTAGACAGGGTAGGTTTTATGTCCAGTGGCGCTACGGCAGCTGCCATCGCTTGGATGTGTTACACTAACTGTGTTCACATAGGGACATGAAGTGGCAGCTAGTATCTGCCCTGTAATGACTCTGTGGTTGTGAGAGTGTGTTGTCCTAGTTAATCTTTTAATCATGTCACTAATTTAGGCTAATAAACTAATAAACCAGGGCCTGATCCAGTATTTGGATCAAGAAAGAAGCTCCTGAAAACTACTGTGTGTCAGATTAATTTAAATTTTAACATGTCAGATAGTTAACTAACAATTACTGTAGGTAAATACAAGTAGCCTATCGGATCCCAATTAGTGTCAGCAGATACTTGATATTAAAAGGCCAAAGAAACTGAATTGGGACATCCCTAAATAAAATAATATAGGTTAGTTTTGCCCTCGTGCCAAATTGTTCTTAATAAAGCTGCCTTATAATGTCATGTGTCAGGGAAAATGCCTCTTTCTATAATAATGTTGAAATAAAGATGATGACAGCCTTTGCCCCATTCTGTGCACAGCAAACACATACTGTTCCTTTAAGCCTAAACTGTTTCTTTATCTTTAAACCTGGTTTTAATAAGCTTCTAACTGATAACAACAGTTTTATCTTGTAACCTATTCTGAATGAGTCTTTTTTAGCTTCTAACCTATTGAAATGAACTGATATTATGTGTTAAGCTGCTCTGAGACTGCTGATTGTATCTGTTGGTCTTCTGACCTGTTAAGGATGAAATGTTATAAGAGTTTGTCAAGCAGCTGTAGGAAGAAAGAGGGGCTATTGACCTGTGCTGAAAATGAAGTCTTTATTGCTATAGAAGTTAGTTTAGCAGCATGTTTATCTTCTAATTTTCTATAATTATCAGATGGTATCAATGAGTAGTCAATGAGTAGTAAAGAGCCCTTTTTTATTACAGAGATTGTTGCAAACTGTCATTGTGTTGACCCGTTTTCATGGTGATGTTTTTTTTTTTACACTAAAGTAAAAAAAGCTGGCACCAGAGGGGTTCTTCCTGTTCTCATTCACTCTCTATCTTTGTCCTCCACGCAGACCTTTAATCCCCATTTGACCTCTTTCCAATTATACAGGAGGTGGGATAATCTCATCTCAACAAAAACTCTACCTCTCGTGGCATTTTGGAGGGTCAACACTGACCACCAAGTGGCAGCCTCTGAGGCTGAGAAATTAAGCCACTGCAGAAATATTAAAACCTGCAGTTCCCCAAATGGCCACTTGAGGCTGGCTTCACAAGCCAGTCAATCCCCATAGACTCTCATGTAATTCATTCTGCCCATTCAGCCCACCTCAGCTCCACTCGCACTCCATCTCTTTGCCCATTTTTGGATCAGCTGTAGAAAGCAGATTGAAGCACTACCAATATGGTGGCCATCAGACTTCAAAACCAGTGGGTGACGTCATAGTGGGTTTATCCATGTTTTATATACAGTCAGTGTTGATCACCCTGTACCTTTTGTAGAGAATGCCAGAAAACTGGCAGGAAACTCCCACATTGAATGGGCACTGTAAAAGGGGCTAATGAGTATTGTTTGTGTTTGCCAACTTTGCCAACTGTGTGTTCACATTTTAGAAGTTCCCTTTTTGTAATGATTCTTCGCTTCATATAGTAAGCTCTAATCCTTGAACAAAGACTATACAGAAATCTGAGTACCCATCCCACCAATGTGTTTCACATTAAGTCCTTCCTTCATTTATGGCACATCAACAGGGGCATGACTGTCTTCCACCAGCTGCCTGCAGCACTTTTTTATTTAGATCATTTGTCCAGACAGATGGTGTCAAGTCTAATTTTTCATTTGTCTCATACTCATCTTTGTACAAATCTGCTGTTTATCACTTATAAATGTGGATATCACAATGTTTGTGCCATAAAGCTTCATCATACACCCATACATACAGTTAAGTGCAGAAGTTTGCATCCCCGTACTCTGAAATAGCAAAAAGACTAAAACAATGTTTTTCTCATCAACATAATATGTAATGTACATTCAGCCAGTACAACTGTTCTTTCATCACCATAAGTAAGTAATACAAATGGTCAGGGAGCATTTAAAAAGAAAGTTATAATAAAAAAAAACAAATCATATCAGTGCAAGAGTTTGCAACCCCCCTTTATGAAATGTTCTCTAATATTTTGTCTGTCCTCCCTCTGGGTACCCCCTGAGCAGCGTTTCAGGTGTAACTTTAGTCCAGTTTTCATGGCATTCTTATTCCAAGGCTACCATTCCAAGGCTTGGTTGCCTGCTATGTACAGCTCTCTTCAAATTGATCCACAGGTTTCCAGTTGATACTGTAACTGACTGAGGTGCTAGGAACCTTGCTCCCAAGCTATGTTAGAATCCAAAACAAGCACTCTTTGTTTTACTGTTTTTGCCATTTCAACTAAGGGCATGTAAACCTTTACTCCCAGCTGTACTATGACTTTGTGTGTACTTGTATTTAGCACTTTGAGCCAGAAGAGTGATACAATAACACTATCACCTCTCACACTAAACTCTTTAGCAGCGATATTCTCAGTTGCTGGCTGATAAAAAGATGTGTTCTCTATGTTTGTGTGCAGGTTTCAGTGAGGTCTGAGGTGTGCTCATGCTTCACTAATGGGATTGCAGCTCCCAGCCTGGTGGAGTACAGAGCCAGTGGCCATTTTGGGCTTAAAAGAGAGGGATCAGATGGCCAAAGTGAGGCCATGGGCCTCTGGCTTAACCCCCTCTGTATGATCCGACCGTCTGCTGGTCATTGAGCCAGACCCACCAGCCAAACCCTCCTCCAGAGGATAGCCATGAATTAATTAGACCATACTAAAGGCGAGTGCAACCAGTGACCAGCGTGTGTGTGTGTCTGTGTTGCTGTGTGTCATGAAAAGTCAGTAGAAAAAAAGCAGAAGGATCTGGGGTTGGGAAGAGTGGCATGATTCTGGGGGGAGATGCAACAACAGGTGGTGCGAGGATGAGTTTTACCCCCCCCCCACTACCTCTCACACCCTCACACAATGGCATTAGCACAGGGGCCACAGGGGGCTGCAGAGAACAATAAAGACCTCTCGCTCCAATCGTTGTGTTCAATCGTGCCCCATCGTCTCTCTGAGAATCAGATCACATGCGTTGCACTGCCAGACCCTCTGCTAACTGACTGGCTTAGTAGGTCGGTCCCTAGGTTTTTTTTACCATCTGCTTATCTGTGAGTAGATATTTCTAGGCTACACAAGCAAGGATATATGGTCTGGGAATGGACAGATGAAAACAACACATGTACATTGTAACAAAATATCTGAAAATAAGTGCTTTTGAGTGTCAGTGGTGATTGATCTCTAATCAATTTGTAGGGTTCTGTTTTGTGGTGGTGTTGTACTGGATTGTGCCCCCCTCCATATAGTAAAGGAAAACAATTATACATGTACCATGCATTTCAAAAGCCTGTACTCACTACCACATTTCTTGAAGTTTAGCATTTAACATTAAGTACATTTAGTTTTTGCTGATTTTATTGTAGGCAAAGAGATAGTGAAAACATTTCATTTAGCCTTTGTTCAAAGACAGTAAGTCTGAAAAGAAAATATGTATATTTTTATCCTCAATAAACCTTAATATATTTTAGGAATATCTGTTTTTTGTTTTCTGAAGTGTCTTGATTAACCATGTAATTGATTTAGAGTCATTAGTCATGGTCTTACAGGATGCAAATGACCCCCTGTTTGGGCTCATTGAAGCCAACAGTAGCCCTCTGGCAAAACTATACAAGGGGCTGTGTGGTGTGGATGTGTTGCTTCAGGGTACAGATTAAGAGAAAAAATGTGAACAAGGAAGTTCTGTTTGGAAGCCTTATTAGACACAATAACACTGCACAGCAGGTTATTCTCTTTTTAGGCAGAATTAGATCTGGAAAGTTATCACAGCAGTGATAATTTGCTCCTCTTTCTCAATGTTTGTCACGTAAACAATGAAAGTGCTGCGTTCTATAGAGGAAGTCTACCTGGAATTTGCACTTGCATGAAGATGATAGGCTGTTTTCCTAGATTGTGCCACAACAAAATTTGAACTAGGATAAAGCTTTCCAAGGCTGACATGCATGTTTGTGCCAGAGCTCTCTGGGTTAAAATTATTTGAAGGAAATTCAGACTTACATTTATAACATATTATTTATGTAATGTCAACTAACCAGCTACCTTGCTAATGTAACTTAGCAAATTCACCAGATATGTTGTCGATTTCTTTACTTGTAAAACAAGACTACATTTTGCTACCTCTGTTGTTAGGGGTGTAACGATACACTTTGTTCATGAGACGAGACGGTGCACTATATTGGGTTCACGAGAACAAGATGAGATGATATTTTAACATTTTTAAGAAATCTTCAGTGACAAAATATATGACCTGAAAATAGTCTTTTATTCAAGTGAAAGTCACAAAATGCAAAAAAAGCAGGTGCATTTTGAAACTGGTGGAAAGAGACATTTTGAGTTTCTACTTTCTGAGTGTGAATTATCATATACAGTAAAAGTACAGTTGTTGCTGTCAGGCAGAAACCTTGTACCTCCAAAACCACTATTTTTCAGGAAATGAAAAACCCTGTGCGTCTAAAATAATCATCATCACATTGTCAAAGTTGATATTGTGTCTTTATATATGATCACTTACCTGCATGGGTCATTATATTATTAACATTTTACCTAAATCAAATGAGGTTATGAGGTTTTGGCTACAGTTTCAGGATCCAATAGAGTTACCAGATGTAGTCACAAGCCCTTTTTAATGTGTTTTATTAGTTAAATATTTGTAAAAACCCACTGAGAGATGTAAAGGTTGATCAGTAGCATTGATCTATGAAACAAATATGACAAAATATGGACATACAAGGTTTTTGTCTGACAGCAATGATATGCAGGCACTGCAGAACTGACTGGCTTCTCTCCTGTATAATTTCATGAGTCTCTTCAGACTTTATAACTGTACATGAACTATGCATGACTTAACTGCACTACTCCAGATGGTGACATCATCCAGCAAAGGCACTGCATTGACCAATCAGGTACAGGGGACGATCGGAACATGGACGGCTTGCTACCTTGTTAGCATTCACCGCTATTCACTGTCAAATTTGGGCCACAATTGATGGCACAATGGCACATCATGCATTTTCATTAGTACTGGATGTTAAACGGTGTTTTTTATCCATCAGTGTCGACACACTGGTGGTGGAATTGGTGCTAAGGTAGAGTAGGCTACGTTAGCATCACGACTAAACAAACACAATGGAAACTCACAGGCTGGAAACGTGAATGAAGCCACTAACTTTGACCTGTCACAACATGGCCATATCATGCCTACAACACTCCCCCCAACCCCTCATCTAATGCAGCCCTGAGCAATAAAACACAGCAAGGAGTTGCTTTTTTGCTGGACTTATGTGAATGTACCATCACACTCTGTGATACTGGATGCTGCTCTGGTTCTGTTATGTACTGGTATCGTGAGACAGCTTTTGCTTTGATGAGAAATATCGTCACATTGCAAGATCTTGTAATCGTCACACACCTAATGGTTACCATTAGGCATTCCACAGAAACACTTACTGTAGGTATTGCGCCTAATCCTTTACTCTATTTTAGGGAAAACCCTGAGTAGAGAACGTAGAACAAACAACAACAACTATAATGAGATGCCACAGGAGAATAGACTGAAGATAACACAAATAACAGATGACAACAAAGATGGCAAATGGCATTAGCTGCATAAATGTGCAGGGAGATAGCTCAGAACAAATCCCTCATTTCATCCCAACACAAGAAGCAGGAAATATCCTCAGAGGTTCATGACAGACAGTAATCACAGGAGGCTAACACAGTCAATATATGGTTCAAACAAATCAATTAAACACAATAAGAGCACCAGGACATTAAGGCAACAGAGGGAGAAATATCTGGTTGGCAGTCTTGTTACTAAGCATGTATGTGTTAAACAACCAGATGGAGGTGTTGAAGAATGAAAGTGATCTTCACTCTGCTGGGCAGCACCTTGTGGACTTAATGAGTCAGTGGAGATGTTGGAAAAATCATTCTGTTTATTGATCAACAGATTGTGATTACTAATGAGCTTATGTTATTCAAAGGACAGCTCAGTGCACAGTTGCAGGACATTTGACTTCCTTCTTATCACCGGACAACTTAATTTAATTGCTGGACAATCCAGCACAGTTATTATGTGCCAGCTGGTAATTGGAAAACTTTAAGTCATTAGACACCACATTCCACGATCTAGAATTTGCCAGCTCATTTGGATTTTTGGACAGTTTATTAGAGTTGTTGGATGAGTGGATCTAAGTTGGAAACTCATTCTGTTTATTTGGCAATTCACTGTACTTGCAGGACAACTCAGTCCAGGAACTGGACGTCTTCTCGTTGCTGCCACCCTCGAGCAAAATTTTCGGTGTGCATTTCAATTTGACAAAGAATATGGTTTTTGTCATGGAGATTTTGAGTAATATTTTCAACTCTAATGCTGTAACTTGTACGCACTTGGTGGAAAATTAATACTTAAGTGGTAAACAGTATTAGTGTATTCCAAGTCACTGGTGTTAAATGTTAAACTAACATTATGTTCCCTCTCTGCATATAAATAATGGGCTTGTATTCTTCCTTTGTATGTTGAAGACTGCATCTTCTTGAGAGCATGATTAGCAGTAGTGATTGCTTGATCTTTAATGTCAACCTTGTTGCATGGGCTTTTAGTATACGTCAGTTTTTCTCATCTTTCCAGTTCTCTCACTGCTAACAGCAGATCAGCTTTTTCATAGACAGTTTCTCATTTAAAATTAGCATATAGAACTGTTTATCAATAGAAGTGTTTGCCTTTGAGTGCTTGGTATTGCCAAAGTAAAAACCAGGAGCCAGCTCTGTGTGGTTAAAAACGGTATTTCAGGGAGATTTAGGCATATTTGACCTGTCTGCAAATGGTAAATATAGGGGCAAACAGCTGTGGAAAAGGCTTATTGATTTCTACTCATGTGTATTTGCACAAGATTAATTTCCCCTTAAGACGTGCTCACACCTCGAAGTTAGAAAAGGTCAGTGAACAGGGGCTTAAGTCATTCAAGCAGAGCTAAATGGATTTGTGCTCCAAGATCCATCTGTTTTTGGAGTTTGTTGACAGAGTGGAAAATTGGAACTGTTGCTTTTACCATCATCACCATCAACACCTCTTCCTCTCCTAACAAATTCAGAAAATATCATGGTTTCACAACATTATGATATTATCAACTACAGCGACCCTCAAAGGAATGAAAACCAAAGGGTTGCCAGTTGATTGAGCTGGACTGCAGCACTAGATTGACCCCGAAGGATAAACTGAATTATAAACATGATTAAAAAAAAAACAGCATTTTATATAACTAAAGCATGTTATCCTGCATGTTAGCACCAGTAGTAGAGGAAGTATTCACATCTTTTACTTAAGTAAACGCAGGCTACTCTGTTACAAATAAAACTCCTATACTGAAAATGTTAGGTAAAAGTATTATCATGAAAAATGTACTTAAAGATATTAAAAGTAGAAGTAGGCTGCTCAGTGCAGGAAGATATATCCTATACTGTGATACTATTATATATTTAATCATGACGTTAACGGCCTGTCACTCATGCACTGATGTAAAAGTAGGATTTGACTGTAGTTGGTTGAGGTGGAGCTCTGCTGAACTATTTTGTATCTATGTGCAACTACAGATTATTTTCAATGGGAATCAACCTGCTGGATATTTTCCGCATTAAGCGGCTGGTTTGTAAAAGTTCTGACAGTAGTGAGACCTGCCGTCACAATGCTCTAAATGATGACCATAATAGTTGTTAATTAATTGTAGGTACCTGATAGACATCCTGTCTGTACCTCCTCACATTTGGGATTAAAGTTATAAATGGATACATACTTTGGAGGCATGGTGTTCTCAAAGGTGCTTGGTTTTAAGATGT